CGACGAAGGAGGCAATGGCAATGCCAGCGAGAACTACCTGGAGCAGCAGCAGCAACAGCAGCAGCAGCAGCAGCAGCAGTAGCAGAGCAGTCGTGAAGCAAAGGCAAGTGCGTTGAGGAATTACAATGATGACAGCAACAGAAGCAATGGCAGAGAGGGGAGAGAGGCAAAGTGTGCCAATGCCTGCCATAGAAACAGGCAATGGCGATAGTTTACACGCCAAGTGGGAAGAAAGAAATGAGAGAACAACTGCGACAGCGTCAGCGATGGCGATGGCGACGTCCGACGCGATGGTCGAGGCCAAGGCAGAGGCAGAGGCAGCGGCAGCGGCACCGCTGCTGCTGTTGATGATGCCAAATTCAAAAGCGGACTGCGCATGCGTGGAATGGGAATGAGAACGAGCTTGTGCGACGAGCGAAGACGAGTGGAGTTGTGAGGGGAGAGTGCTAAGAGTGGAGCTTGTAGAGGGGAGTGGGACTAGTAGTGGATTTGAAAGAGAAGAGCACGACGAGAAAAGAGATCGCAACGTGGGGTTGAGCTCTGAGAGAACGCGCGACGAGGAGCGCTATTCTGAGAGCAGAGATCTCTCTACAAGGAATGGAGCTGGCCGAGGAGAACATCGTAGCCTATCATAGCCTACTTTGTTGCCCTGGCACACATGTCGACGATGTACAAGGTTAAACTCCTGGAACTACTTCTTCAGGCTGCCGCACGGACAACCAAAAGGAAATATGCAGCTGTTGTAAGAGAATGCCTCACCCTATTTTAATACACCTTGTCCATGTTGAGCTAATGAAGCGAACGATCAGGACGTCGACGCCGACACCCGCCAACAAACGTTATTTAATCACAATCGCAATAGCTGCAGCAGAAACAGCAGTCTGGACTGCCTGCAGCAGCAGAGGCAGCAGCAGCACCTGTTGCTGCAGACGCTGCTGCTTCTGCTGCTGCTGCAGCGGTACAGAATCCAAAGGAATGCAGCAAGAAATTAAGACTGGCTGTGGATGTTGCTGAGGCTCAGGCTGCGGCAGTGGCGTGTGGAGCACGGCGCGACGGCCAATCAATTCTCAGAAATGAAAACCCCGTCTTCGGTCTGTATTACCGTTGCCGTTGTTCTTTTTTCCTTCTTCTTTTGCTGCAGAAGCATCATCAGCAGCAGCAGCAGCAGCAGCAGCAGCAGCAGCAGCAACAGCAGCGGGCAGCGGACAGAGAAAGAATGCGAAGAAATGCAAAATGCAAACACCACGAACCACAACCACTTTCCAAATGCATTCATGATGTTTACCGTTTAAATGCGCCCAGTTTCTGAGAGAGAGTGTGTGTGTGTGTGCAAAAGAGAATCTCAGCTTGTAGGATAGAAGAAGCCAGAGAGAGCTGAAGCGGCGGCAGCAGCAGCAGCCTCTCTAACAGCAAATGAGGAGAAAAGCACAAGGCAAGAACAACACCAGCATAAAAACCGTTGCACATCAGTCATGTGTGCGTGTGTAAGAGAGAGAATAGGCAGTCGTTTCCCGTCAAATGGTAAGCGGTGTCTGCAACAGTGCGGAAACGGAAATTTTCGGCTTATTCTTCAAATCAATTTAATCGCTAACTGTCCCCCAACCTTGATAAGTTCTCATCAGCCAGAATTCAGCATTCAACCATCCACAGTTATGCTGGAAAGATCTGCTTCTATAGAACAAACATAAATGTTGCCCAATTGGGAACCCAAATAATTGCGCATTACAGTCTAAGCAGGAGTCAGCTTCCCCTACCCATACTATTACCACATCCACGCCGCTGCCGAAGCCGCACCCGCACCCGCTTACGCAGCTTTTGGTTTGGGCTTTTCGATACCCCCAACAGGTGGGGTATATCGGTTCTGCTAATAGCGCTCCTCACCGGCGCTGTCTTGCTGAGAGCTAAAGCTTGCTTGGGTATTCACAGTCGAATACAGGCTCGCTCCGCCCGCTGCTAAAAATTTCTGCTTTGAAAGTTCAAGTTCAAGTGCGCCAAATCTACGACGCAACAAGCTTCCATGTTGGCGACATAGCGAGAAGCAAAAACAAAAATTGTTACGTTTTGGGCGCCGAAGCTTTTGATAGCAGATCGGTCCTTTCAATGGGAGTCATTTGATATGCGATTCCTTTTCGATCGAGTTCGACTGTACAATACATACTCGTACTCGAAGCTATGTGGAATGTGCAAAATAACGACTTCTTATATACGAAGCATTATTGAACAAACATTAAATGCACATACATACATATGTATATATGTACATACATACATGTAAATTCTTAGGATCATAAAGATCTAAAAGCCATATAGGTCAAGAGGACCGCTAGTATGTACATACATACATATGTTTGAATGTATAGGCTTAAGTGCAGCTTTCATCAATATTAGAAAACTGAGTGACTGATCAATAATATACATATGTACATATGTATGTAAATGCGCATAGAGCTTAAATGGCCCTTCATAATCTGCGATGCAAGTGCCAGAGTATACAAGTGTGCTCTCCTTGTGCTCCTTTTGCAGGAGCATCTTTGCCTAAAAGGTGGGTAGTGTAGTGGCAGATTTTATTGCTGATCGTGGCGCGTCTAATTGGCAAGCGATTCTATGTCATTAGGCCGCTTGATTAGCGGCGCCGCGCCGTCCAATATCTGTCTCAGTCTAGGCCTGGCCAAGTGCCACTACAAGAACAAACAAGCAGCAGAGCAGCAGAGGCCTAGGCCGGAGCATAGGCAGAACCAGAGGAGGCAGAGAAAGAGAGTTTCTAGCAACAAGTTCTCTCGGCTGTGACTGTGCTCATTTGTGCAGCTGCCAACAGTGTAGCAGTGTTTGAAAGCTCGTGGCGCAGCCGCAGCAGTCGCCGCAGCAGCAGCAGCAGCAGCCGAGGCCCGAAGCTTCTGCCGCAGTCGCTAGACTCTGCGCTCGTCTCCGCTCGGGCTCGTGCACCTGTGTCTGTGTGTATCTGTGTCTGGCTTGATTTTCTTCTTGTGTTCCCGACAGTTACATTACGAGGCCAAAGAAAGTATCTTGGCTGGTTTGCGTATTTCGCGTTCGTCGCTCGTCGAGTTCACACGTGCTGCTCGCTTGGCCGCTTGCTTGCCACATCGCTTCGCTTCGCATTGCATCGCATTGCATCGCATCGCATCTCACCGTATCCCAGGCTTTGAGAATACGAATACGAATCCGAGTCCAAGTCTGAGTCCGAATCCGCTCGGATCGTGATCGAGCCTCGTTTTTCAGTTCTGCGACGCCCAAGTGCCGCCTGCCGCCTGCCTCCTCCTCCTCCTCCTCCTCCCCCCAGTGTCTAGTGTCAGTGTATTTTTTTGTTGTTGTTGTTTTACAATTACCGTTACCTGCGCTAAAGCGCAGAATAAAAAAAATACAGCAAACGCGAGAGAGAGAAAGAACGAAAGAAAGAGAGCGAGCGAGCGAGTCCAGTTCAGTGAAGTGAGTGTTTTTTGCCCGTAAGTCCCAGCGTACTTGCAACTCTTCGATCCGCAAATCCGTATAGCCAAACCGTATGCGCATTCGTACCCCTATACCAAACAAAAGCTATAGCCAAAGGAAACTGTTCAGAAAACTGTGTGAAACCTTTTTTTTTTAGATCATCTGACTTGTATTTTTTGGCAACATTTTTTTTTTTTAATTTGTTATTAATATAAAGCCTTGTAATCGTGTCATTTGCAATTATATATACTTTGATGTGCATGCAGAATTTGAGACTTTATTTCACTTTCATCCAATTTGGCGCAAAAGAAGCTGGGAACATGCCCATGTTCAGACATGGGTATTTTCTGTGAAACACATGGTGCAGCCTTCAACCGGGATGCGCTCGGGGCGCTAGAGAGGGGGGTGGTGTTTCATGTGGACTCGGACCCGCCACTGCCACTGGCACTGCCACTGCCACCGCCACTGCTGCTGCTGCTGCTGCTGCTGCTTGGGAGCCGATTAACCAGCTAGACAGCAAATGCAGCCGAGTATTTCATGCTTTCTAATTTTCCCAATTAGCACAAATGCGGCTGGCTCTGTCTCTGCTTCTGCCTCTGAGTCTGTGTCTGATTCTTCTTTATCTTGCGCCTCCATCCTCCTCAGAATCGAAACTAAAATCAACCTCAAAATCAAATCCCGACTGCAGCTCGAAACGATCTTCCACAGAGAAACACACACCAGCCAGATCTGTGCTCGGCGTTCCGTTCGTGTTCGCGTTCGCGTTCGCGTTTGTGTCTCTCCACTCGATGGGGCACTTTCCACAGCTTTTCCCAGCAGCGACAAAAGCCGTGGAAAAATAATAATAATACATAATAATAATCATAACAATCACACGTACACAGCCAGAATAGAAACACGGAGAGTTCTACGTGCCACCCCAGACCAGACCAGACCAGGCCAGGCCAGGCCAGGCCCCCAGACCCAGACCCAGACGAGACCCACAAAAGTAGCATCGTCATCCGTCGGATCATTCCCATAGTCATTCCCCATCCTGCTGTCTATCCAACCGTATACACAGTACCCCAACAGGTGCTGCTGCACCTGTACCTCGTCTGCACTAATTATTGACCAAATCTCTGAACGGACAGGCAGACAGCCAGTCGGAGAGTCGGAGAGTCGGACAGGCGGACAGGTGGACATTCGGGGAGGCATTTTCCTCGCACACATATGTCAAATGGGAACTAATCACCAATCAGTTCTCCATTTGAGAACAGAGGTGGCGGGGAGGGGGGTGTCTCGGGCTCCCAGACTGGTTGCCTCGTTGCCTGGTTGCTGGCATTCCTCTTTATTTGCGTTACGTGTTAGGCGGTCCGGTCCGTTCCGATTTCACTTCGGCCTTCTACTTCTGTACATATTTAAGCAATTATTCTTTCTTCTTATTTTTTTTTGTACTCTTTAATGCATTTGCCAAACTCAGCCTAAATATCCCGTTTGATATTAAGTGTTCCAGAAATACGGAAATATAAGGAATCTAAAACAGCAGAAATACTAACGAGAACCCTCAAAATTGTGTGTGTTTGACCATCGGAAAGATCAAGGTCTATCGGTAAGTTAAAAATGCAATTATTCGATTATGGTATTCCGATACAAGATCTTTCATACAACATCTATTGAATGTACCAAACTATTAAACTATTTTGATGCTATTGAGGATTAGGGGATTACGTTATGACAATGTTATAGATCGAGATCAAATAATCATATATTAAAAAGGATATGTGTACCTATTGATGTACACAAAGGATGTGCTTTATAATCATTATTATTCTTGTAGATTAAGGGTTTCAACGACTGTTAATGTTTGTAAATTTACGATCCGACTCAGATGTGGGACGGCTATTGGTTATGGTTATTTCCGATAAGAATAATGATGGTTCCCCTGGAGGAGATCCTCTGGTAAAATAGCTGGCGACACAAGTCACAAGCCGTGTGAGAGGGGATCGAATATGTGTATAATGAATATAGGCTGTACATCATCATTTGTCAGCATTGCCAGCATGTCCAATACCATAATCCCTCACTCCAATGGGAATCAATATTGTGACAGCTTTCGTCACTAGACTCGATTCCATTAGTCGGGACTACTGGCTACTGGCATTCCCGGAGATACTCGCACAATAAATGGAACAGAGCCCACACCAGCAGATATAGATACAGATACAGATACAGATACAGATACACCCGGAGGAGGCGGCGGCAAGTGTGCTGGCGCTGATGAGAAGTGAGTGGTAGCGGTGTTGATGCATTTGATCCGTTTTGGAGCGCATTAAATGCACCGTTAACTACTTCGAATTCTAATTAAGCTGATGCGACAATCCAAGGCACGCCGCTGTGGCACAATAAACTCAATTCCTGCTGCAGACAGAGCCAAAGAACTCTTGTGGCACAGACACAGATGCAGATACAGATACAGATACAGATACAGGAACAGGCAGCGACACAGAGACGGAGACGGAGACAGAGCCATGGGGCAGAGCCAGAGCCAGAGCCAGAGCCAGAGATTGGCAACTGCAAAGAAACACGCGACTTGGCCATAAATGCAATGGCAAGTTGCAAGTTGCAAGTTGCAAGTTGAAAACTGCAGACCGTAGGCCTCGTTGTCGCATCTGTGGATCCCAGTTGTTGGCAAAGCGGAGATCAGCAAACGGCATCTACGAGTATCTGTGTGTCTCTTTCCATCTGCGACTCCGACTCCGACTCGAGCTCGGCCTCTGGCTTCGGCTTCGGCTGCAGTGGACTATCTCTTTGTTTGGCCTCAAATGATTTGCTTTGGCCAATATTAGGAGGGAGGGGAGCTCAGCTCAGCCTTAGCCGCCTCTGAGTCAAGGTCTCCCCCCTTCTGCCCGACTAAAGGCCCGACCCGTATCTGTGTCTCGTTCGCTTGAATTCATTTGAAATTCATTCATTGTTTGGCTCTGACCAGCGCGAGCAGAGCCCGTTGGAGCCACCATCGATGCTCGCGATGCTCGATGCTGATGACGCATAATTTATGAGCTGCTGCGATCGACCCAGTAAATTCTATTCCCAAAGCTGCCTCTGCCGCTGCCGCTGCCTCTGCCGCTGCCTCTGCCGCTGCCACTGCCCCTCTTTCACATGCCATTCGCGGCAGACACAGGCACAGACACGGATGCGGCGACACACTGAGACCCACAGATACATACGTATGCAGATACATATAGAGATACGAATACGAATACCTGTACGATATGCAGATGCGGATACAGATAAAGCGACGACAAGCGTCGTTTCTTTCACAGAATCTTAATTTGTATTCAACAACCATCAAAGCTACAAGCGAGAAAACATTGAGCGATGGAGAGACGCCGCGGCGTCCCAGCGTCTCAGCGTCTAACTGTTCTTTGCCTTTCTACAGACATTCCAATAATGAAATGGAAACTTTTTGTGCCACATTTGGGTCCCCTTCCTCTTCCTCTTCCTCTTCCCAGCTCATATGTACTCGTATAAAACCCTCCTTGAAATCGAAAGCTATCCCGAAACTCGTGCTCCCTCAAACTGCTTCGATTGGGGGCCAAGTCTTTGAGGTCAACAAATTGCGTTAACTTAAAAGGCCAAGCCCTTGGGCTGCTGCAGGCCCGCTGATAAGACTTGGTACCGCCCTTGGGGACCTGCTGCTTCCAACTCCACCTCCACCTCCACTTCCACTTCCATGCATTTCCATATGCACACGCTCCTAGAGGCTCCTAGAGGAGCGCATTGTTTGCACTTGACTTTGGAGCGGAGCGCTGCTGGGGGCTGCTCTCATGGCAGCTGTCATGTCGTTGCTCAAAGTTGACAACAGATTGCCCCCAGACAGAGAGACAGAGAGACAGTCGAGAGCCTGGCAAAAGTTTTGTCGCAGGCGAAACGGAGGAGACGAGGAATTGGTTGGTTCATGCCCCAAATTTGAATACGAGTAGCTGCAACAGTCGGGTGCAGAGTCTGCAGAGGGGCTGGGAATGCAAATGCGAATGCGAATGCGAATGCGAATGAGACTGGGACCATTTGACACGTTCTCGGTCTTTACCAAAGCCTTTTGGACGTTTCCAGCTACAGAATGAATGGTACGAGTAGTTGCAGCAGTTGTACACAGCTGCTGCAACAACTGGGAACGATGTCATCCACTCCACCCCACCCCTCCCGCCTGTTCCTGTTCCTGTTTCTCCCTTCTGCCATTTGTGCATTTGCATTTGCATTTCCCATGAGATTTAGTGGCAAATCGTTGTCTGAAATTGTCATAAATTCAAAACTTTGAAGTGAGCAGATAATTTCAGTTATGATTCAACCGCTAAGGCTACAGCGGATGTGCCCCAACAAATGAGAGCCTGCTTACACTTCTAAAATCGATCGAAATGGAGATATGGACTACCAACATAACCCCTGAAATCGTTTCTAGGCAATAGATACACGCTTTTGAGCTGAAAACTGAAAATGCAGACCATGGAGACTCCTGCTCCAGATCTAGAAATTTCCGTACATTCAAGGAAACCGTCAAGATCGGATCCATATTTGATCTATTGGTGATTCAGATAGTGCCAGCCACTAGATGATACTTTTAGATATGTTACACTGACGACTCTTCAGTATATTCTGTGAAGACGAAAGGTGGAGGATTGTATCATCACAAGACCGCAGTTGCCAAGTCAGTTTTCCCAGAGGCTGTTTAATTTTGTGGCTGACTGTGCGGCACCCCCGGCACAGCCATATCCATGCCGAGCTAATTACACAAAGTAAAATTGCATTTGGCTACGACTACGGCTGCAGAATGCGCCCGAAAAAAACCAAGCAAAAAACTAAAAAGTGGACAAACTTGCTTCGAGCCCCCCTCCTGGGAACCCTCGGCGGGTCCCCAAGGTGTGGGGGATGGAGGTGGTCCGAGAGGGCGGCAACTGTGGCTGCTGGATGGAAAGGGGGTTGCATGTCTGGAGGGGGAGGTGCGACTGGGGCTGGTGGAACCAGTTTAATTAAAAGAAAGTGAACCATTTAAAAATGTATTTTGATTTCGGCCTTACTGTTACTTATACTGTTACTGTTACTTTAGCCATACCCATACCCATGCCCGTGCCCGTGCCCGTGCCCGTGCCACAACGTAGTGGCATCATTATCATTATCGTGATTATTGCTGCTTTTCACTATGAGACGAGCACGGTATGCCGATGCCCCGCACCCCGCACCCCGCACCATCTGGTGGCGCCCCTCTCTGGAAGCACACTAAAAAAAAACAACACAAAAAAACAGAAGCTAAAAATACACACATATGTACATATCTCATCAAAAAAGCACAAAACAGATAAACAGCAATGAAGCATAGGCATGTGATTTACCGTTTGCTGGTTGTTCGCCGTACCGTTATAACCGGGTCCGGGGGCTCTCTGTTCGATTCGAAAGTGGTCGGTCTTCAATAGCAATGGAACCGAACCGAACCGAACCGAACCATTTCCACTTCCATTTCAATTTCCACTGGCATTTCCATTATTGTGCCGCCACCATATCACCATCCCACCATCCATTCATCAATTCCACATCCCACAAGAAAGAAAAGTGAAAACTGTAAGCAAATTGCGGTTGGGGCTCCAGTTTTTGTTTGGGTTTTGATCGCCTTTTGATGCAACCATTTCTTTGCCATTCCATTCCATTCGACTTCGAATCCATTCCATCGATCGAGCTTGGATCAAATCGAATTGGATCGGGCGAGCTCCAGGGTACGAGGGTGCCGTTCAGCTAAGCCCATCTCTTGGGGCGTGGAGCGTGTCCAACTAACTTCTACTTTTCCTCTCTTCCGTTCTTCCACTTCTGCAGCTGCAGCAAGCGTGCGGTACTGTTAATTGCAGCGGCAGAGGTAGCAGCATCATTAATTAAGCGCCATCAGAGCGTGCAGCACGCGGCGGCAGACGCCGGGCTCTTCAATGCGTCGCGTCGCGTCGCGTCGCATCGCACTTTCTTTGACTTAGTTAGACTGCGCCTGAGAAGGCCCGGACCCGGGGCCTGGCTCCGCTCCTAAGTAGATCCCATTCCGTCCCATGCGGCGGCTCTTAATTGGGCGCCTCTGCGCTGACTTTTGATTCCTCTCTCACGCTCTCGCTCCCGCTCTCGCTCCCACTCTCGCTCCTGCACTCATGCAAAACAGCTGGCCCAGACGCAGACACTCGACGAGAGCGGGAGTGAGTGGGAGAGCGAGAATGAGTTACAGTTAGCCTAGGCGCTGTCTCGCTGTACGAGTACCCTTGCGTAAGGAGTATTTATGATTTCCGACCCTGCTACTCGCATGTGTGTGTATCTATGTAGAATATTAAGAGATCAACAGCTCACGTCCCGCCCTTCGGATATAATGTCTCCCAGACTTAATAGCTAAGCATAATCAATACATCCTAACATGATTGATCGATTGAAACGATAGAGGGAGGCATTTACTGTTCACAGTTCGTCTGCTTATGGACACCTTTTCAAAGGGAAAATCATGTTTGTCTATGAAGATAATCCAACCAACTCTAAGTACATATACTTTATATCGATTAGTTGCTTAAACGGGATCGATCTATGCAATGCAAGGCAAGGTTATCGAGAGCCTCGATCTCTGTTGCTATTATTGCATTATCTTTGTTTTGGGCACTTCGAGTGCAAGTTCGAGATCTCCAGTTTGAGTTCGGTAAAGGCAAGTTTTCTTTTCACGGAGTGTGTGTGCGTGTGTGTGTGTGTGTCGAGAGACAATAAACGAGAAGAGAAATTAATTGGCTCCAAATTAAAAGACAAATAAGCATATCAGCCGTTTACCGTTGGCCCCCTCCCTCCCTCTCCCTCTTCCTCTCCCCCTCCCCGGCTCCATCGACCGATTTACAGTTCTGCGAGAGAATCTCCGTTGACCGCATTTCTGTGGTCGAAATGTGAAGGGGGGTGGGGTGCGGTAGCGGGAGCGTCCATCATCTTTTTCTTGTTCGTATCCGAGCGCCGCTTTGTTCGCACAGTTTCGATTTCATTTTCACCTGTTGCTGGGTAAAAGTGTGTGCCAGGCCAGGCACAATAGGCGGCTCGGCGATCAGCGGAGGCAGAGACGCGAAATGAGATTTTTTTATTACAGCCCGATGGAATTGATGTGGGCTTGACTGACTGCCTGATTGTCGGATTGTCGGATTGTCGGATTGATTGATTGATTGATTGTCGGCATTTCTTTAATTGGTGGCAGAGCAGGGAAAGTGCTGCTGCTGTTTACCCACTGAACAATTGCCAATGTAAATATTTATCGCAGCAGCTCTGTCTCTGTGTACCCAATCGAAATGCGAAAGAATTATTGTGCGAATTGGAAAGTTCGGGTTTGGTTCGGTTCGGTTCGGTTCGGTTTCGGTGAAATTTGTCGGGGATCTATTAGTCGTCGTGGTCGATCTTGATCTACTCAATGCGGCAGGCGAGCACACCTCCAGATCCTCGGCAGAAAGTTATCGTGTAAGCTATCGATAAACAGATAAACAGTTAGGCATACAAAATCGATCATTGGCTTTACAAGAATGTACTCTGACAAATGCTTTTGATTTTCTTTATGTTTATTATACAAAAAAAAGTCATAGTCCCCCAAAAAAAGCTTTTAAATGGCAACTAATTTCGCGATCGCCTTTCATACAAAATCAGTATTCCTTTTGGGGGTATTCCGATGTGGCTCTCGCTTCGATTGTCTTTCGATTAATGGCTTAACAGCTTGTCTGTTATCAAAATTCACAGAGGGATGAGATCGATTTAGGCCTGCTTTTGATTAATGTAACATTATCTATTCTGTATTTGAGTATTTTATTGACATTATTTCCGCGGTAGCACAAATCGTAGAGTAAAGTTGATTGGAATAGACCTCCACTCAGTGCACCCCTGGCCATTAAAGTGCTTCATTCTGGGCCCGGTGATCGCTCAATTCATTTTGCAAGCCCATTGGACACACTGTGTCGCAGTGGGTCACTGCTGCAGCCTGATTTTCCTGCCAGCACTGGGGTGACTCACGAGGCTACAAAGCAGGCCTGGCAACAAGCCGTCCCGTCCACTGTCCAAGCGTCAGGCAGCGCAGCCACCAAAATTTGCAATGTTAAAATGGACCCCCCGGGGGCCACTGATCGAATGGATCAGAGAGCAGGCCAGGTCCAGGTCCAAGTCCAGGTCCAAGTCCAGGTCCAGGGAAATTGACCGCCTGGCCGTTTATTAAATTTCAATTTGTTTATGGCTTCTTTTCGTGGCCGCACATTTGCGGCCATTTCACGTATTCGAACAATTTTCGGCTGCCCCATTGGCCGGGGGCGTCAGGTTAAATGCGATCTGGCCCCGGATACGTTCAGTCATCAGTCATCGGTGCTCAGTACCCCGATCCCCCCAACGCTCCAAACGCCGCGCTAATGACGCACATCGACATCTTTATTACTCCGATGGGCTCCTTTGACCAAAAACATAAGGGGAAAGGCCTTTATCAATTGATATTTAACATACGAATTGGGCTGAGAACGACGACGACCACGACCACGTCGCGGAGGATAATGTGATCGACCGCGACGGCGACCGCGTGCACTTAATGTTCCTGTGTCGCCCCACAGAAAAAGCGTTCGGGAATTCAAAAGGGGCGAAGTCAGGGGCAGGAATATAGGAAGATTATGCGAGTACTCGAAAGAAGAGGACAGGAATTCAGGTTAACCGTAAGCGGAGAGCGAATGGAAGCTTTCGGGTGAATGTGTAGCTATAATTGGCATCGATCGATCGATCGACTAACGAAACATCCGTAGAGTGCGGTCGATGGAAGAAGATCGAAAAGGAGTGTGAAGCGTTTGCCATGGGTACTCGTAAAAGTTATCAAACATCCAATGCACGAAAGTTATCAATAAAAGAGATGAATATTATTGATGAACGAGCTATGTACCTAAGCACATACTAGAATACATAATCATCTTAATCGATAAACGGGAGATGTTGTATAAGAAGCAGCACTAACTGTTCCAGTCCTCAGGATCATTGAACTCCCAAATCCATGAATATCATTATTTAACGACTTGGAACGATGGAGAAAATGGAATCTGATTAGCCCCAAAAGATCTTGTAGATCTACGATCAACACGCAACAGTACGAGTATGTCTATCCGGCCATCTATCGTTTACCATTTAGCTCATTTGGTAACCAAAAAACCAGTAACCAGGCGATCGCTTGCAATGAGATCAGGAGTACCTACATTCGATCGATCGATCATCGAAATTGCCGCAATTTAGTGTGTCTCACTTTATTTTGGATCACGATTTGCGGCTGCTTCAACCTGCGGCCCTCGTGCCTCGTTCCTCGTGCCTCGTTCCTCGTGCCTCGTTCCTCGTGCCTCGTTCCTCGTTCCTCGTTCCTGTTCGGTCAGAGCCGCGTGATGGACAGGCACAGAGCCCGACAAGCCAACTATATAATCGTAATGGAGATCGGAGTCGAGATCGCACTTGGCATTAGCAGCCAGTCAACAGTTGCAATTGCCGACGGGTCCGTCTTGGTCTGGTTGGGTTTGCTTTTGCCACTGGCCGCCCACGCGAACTGTGCGATACAGTGGGGTGAAAGCGATCAGTGCAACGGTGGATCATCAATTAGTATTTGCACGGAAATTGGGGTACAATTGTCTTCGGGGGAATTCGAGTTCAGTTTGCCAATTCGTAGCCCACTGTGCCTATGGCTTAGTAAGCCAGTTCAAGAGAGAGGAGAGATAAGACCCCATCGTACTCTCCCTCGCGATAGTGATTGTAGCAAACAAATCATTGGGGTAGTCCCACCGAGCACCTTCCCCTTTTGAAGCGCAACCGAAACCCAATAATATTCAATACTCTTTCGCCTCGTTGCAGATCCGATCGCCACGCCCACAGCACCAGCATGTGGAGCCCACAAAAAGGTCCTACACGGCTGTGGGACCTTAGACTTAGTAGCTGTATATTTATTTTACACTTAATGGTAAGTACAACAGAACACAACCACAGAATTTACTCGGCTCTTATCACCAAAACTATATACATACTCGTACTCGTATAGAATTAATTACAAAGTAAAGTTTAATTTTCCGACCTTGGCCTGGGGAACAGCGAATAATCGTACGATCTTATCTCAATGAACATAGAAATTATTTCCAAGCAATACATTTTCTCTAAACTGGCTCTAGAACAATGAGACTGCAGGTGTTAATAAAGGCGGTAAAATTATAAGCGTGTTTAGTAAAATTGGTAGAAAGATTCCTCTCTAAGAAGTCTGCTGAGGGAGACTGATTCGCTTTTACATATCTACAAAATGTACTGTATCAGTTGTCTCTCAGAATGTAATCGAAACTTAGGTTTGTTTAATATCAGGATTGCATACACGTAGATAGGTGCCAGAGACCTTATACGGACTCTCCAATGGGCTTGATGATCATCTCGTGGATCTGGACATTGGGTGGTGTCTGAATGCAGTAGGAGACGGCATCGGCAATGTCCTCTGAGCGCAGCATGGGCAGACCGGGCAGTAGTTCGAGGACCCTCTTGTCGAGAATCTCCGTATCGACGGCGCCGGGACTCACGCTCTGGGGACGGATGAGGAAGAGCTTCGGTTAGAGGCAAGCGACAATTCGAGGGTAACAGAAACTCACCGTGATCTTGGTCTGGGTCTTCTTGTTGAGGAACTCCTGGCGCAGCACCTCGGTCAGGGCAGTCACGGCATGCTTGGAGGGGGCATACATGCCCAGGCTGAAGCTCGTAACCGGTGTTTGGTGTCCGAGCACGCTGTTGATGATCACCACGTGTCCGTCGAGGACATTGCGCCGCTGCTGAGAGCGGAAGGCCTCGCGCGTGCACCAGGCCACGCCCAGCACATTGGTGTCGAGGATGGCCCTCAGATCGGGGCCGTTGCCCTCCTTGACGATATCCGCCGCCTGCCGCAAGATGCCGGCATTGTTTACGAGAACGTCGGCTCCCCCCAACGTGGCATCGATCCAGGCGAAGGTGTCGACAACGTCCTGTTCCTGGCTGACGTCACACTTGCGGCCATGGAAGCGGGCGGCCTGCTCGGACGGCAGAGCTGCCTTCAGCTCCTTCAGCCGCTCCTCACGGCGAGCCAGACCCACCACGACCATGCCCTTGGCCACCAGATCCCTGCAGCATGCGGCTCCAATCCCCGAGCTGGCTCCGGTGACGACAGCAACGCGATTTTGCCAGCGATCCATTACGACTATTACGAATGTTTAGTTTATTTCTGATTAAGAACCGAGCAATCCCTTATACGGGAGCGTGATTCGGACGGTTCTGCGTAGCAAACTGATTAGCCACCCGGCACCGGTTAGTCTTTTATAGGCTTCCCCGACGAGCTCCATTCACGAATACAAGGTACGAATACGAGTCCGACTATAATCGTAGAACGTATACGCCGATGGAGAAAGAGAGAGAGAACCAAAACGCTTCTAACCATGACTCTTGGAAAAGCCATATAATTATCTATCTACTCGTATTCCCGAATGCTATTTTGCAGGTTGGCCACGCGAATCTGTGCCAGCTGATAGAATTTCTAGCATTGCTAGCAGTTCTTTCGTGGTTTATCATTGTAGATCAGCAGAAACATTTGAAAGACGGCGTGCGTCGGCACGGTGACCAAATCGTTGAACAGGTTCTCGAAATTAAGTCGAAATACTGATTGGAATGGAGGAAATGGATAGTTGCAGTTAGAGCAATGTTATAGTCAGATTGGAGCTTTTGTTTTTCCAATGCAGAAAAATATAGGGAATAACTAACGGGGCAATATGCATTCGAATAAATGAAAAAGCAGTACGACAGAATAAAAGACTAGCGCTTACCCCCCTGGCAGATCGATGGTTCCTATGACAGTTATTTGATATCGCTAGATAGATTTTTGTTAAGTTACTGACGATAGGATAAGGATTGTTTTGGATAGATTACTATTGGATATAAGGGGCTGCGAATGTTGCATTAAATTCATCCTGCATGATAGTAGAATCCATAGTAGTCATAAAAACACAGCCATGCTCATGTCTCTTTAATGCTTTCGATCCTTACGAATCCTACCCTTCACTCAGATTCACGAAGAGCCCAGTGGAAGCACTGCGGATTCAAATCAGCAAGCCTTTTTCGCAGTCTCTGAAGTGACTCGAGACATGCTACGGAGTTCGTGTGCCTTCGGCTGTGCCCATTTCAAGGAATATTTTTGTTTTTTTTTGGTGAAAAACATTTTCGTGCAATATCTGATATTTATTTTCGTTCAGTGTAACGCATGGTAATCTCTACGGGCATTCAATTATTGCTGCCAGCTCACTGACTGGCTACGAGCCTAGGCCAAATGATTTGGTGAGCTGGCCAGAAGAGAGCTTTGTCTGTGTCTCCTGCGCCTGGATCTTCGTCTGGCACTGAGATGCCAGACAACGTGGCACCGCTTCATGCTTCATATAGGGGCAGGTAAACGCACTGCTCATACGTGCAACATGTTGCTTGGCAGGTGCAGTAACCATTAGTGGAAGGAACTGTCGAGGGGCGATCTATGTGTATGTATATGTATACGTATATGGATGTGTATGAAAATGCAAATTCCATTTGCAATTTGCTCAGATTTGAGCCGTCCGATCCTCGCAACCAGACGGAATCTCTAGCAGTATTTGGCAAGGCAGTTTGGCCAAGTATCAGTATGCAAATGTCGGACTGGGGAGCTGAGTGGAGTGGATGGGAAGAGGCGATGGGGGGGATCCCCAGGAGATCGGGACAGACCAGTTTCTAAAGCGCGGCCAAACGGATGCGGACCAGGTGGAATTCGCTTTCTCATTTCGATTGGCCTTTATTGGCCATGGCCGAGGGGCTGCTGCTGCGGCCTGCTGCCTGCTGCCTGGGCCAGAGACTGGATTTCCGTTTCGTTTTTATTGGCAACACGTTTGCCAGGTGCCAGTCGGGAACCGTTAGATGCCACCCACAAGGCTAGAGATGGAACTTGAGCTGGAGAAGCAGATGGAGATGGTCAGAGATGAGTATGGGCTAGGATAGGACAGAGATGGCAGGATCAGTTGGCAGATGAAATTGTACGAAAGAAATACCTAAATATAACTGTTGGAATACGGGGTGGAATACGGTACAGCTGGATAGGGGATAGAAAGAACAGATCCGATCAATTATGGAAGAGACACGCCACGAGAGGGAGTGGCTCGAATTCGGCATGGAAATGGATAGAATGGTTACCTAAGATGGAATGAGTGTGGGCGTTGAGCCTTGGATTGAGAATGATAGGAAGTTTGGAGGTTGAATGAGAATCAGAGTCCAATGAATGTTTTGTATGAGTCGATATTAGCCACGTACCACTGCCAATTACTGACCATTATTGCTACATGCACCTTCCACTCTTGCAGTTTAGTTTAGTCATAGCTGGTAATGAACTGTGGCCTATGGACCGGCCTGACGGAATGCCCAACATTGTCTCCCTGGAGGTGATGTGCGGCAAGGATCACATGGATGTTCATCTAACATTCTCGCATCCGTTTGAGGGAATTGTTAGCTCCAAAGGTGCGTATCCTCCTAAAAATCTTGCCCTGATACGAGTACTAATCCCCACTCTGATCACGTTAGGACAACACAGCGATCCGCGTTGTGTGTATGTGCCGCCCTCAACGGGCAAGACATTCTTCTCGTTCCGCATCTCGTATTCACGATGCGGCACCAAACCGGATCTCAACGGACAGTTCTACGAGAATACGGTGAGACTGCAATCGATAATGATCTACAATACATCTCAAACATCCCCCATCCTCCATCCCCCTCGAAGTGTTGAACCCAACTAAAGATCACTTTTGTCCATCACATCACAGGTAGTCGTGCAATACGACAAGGACCTGCTGGAGGTCTGGGACGAGGCGAAGCGGCTGCGTTGCGAGTGGTTCAACGACTACGAGAAGACCGCCTCCAAGCCCCCGATGGTGATTGCTGATCTGGATGTGATCCAGCTCGATTTCCGCGGTAAGTCGGCCAGGCAATCCATTCAGTCGGATCCGCTTTTGATCCATATCTATATCCAATATCTTCCGCGCAGGTGATAATGTCGACTGCTGGATGGAGATTCAGCATGGCAAGGGTCCCTGGGCGCCGCCAGTGAGCGGCATTGTGCCCCTGGGATCGACGCTGACCCTCGTCGTGGCCATCAACGACTACCGCGGTAAGCCCAAGAATATTTTGACCCGACCAATCAGTATCTTATGCTCGTATCTTTTATCTTTCAGGCGAGTTCGATATGCGCGTTAAGTCTTGCTTGGCCTCGGACGGCTCTGGGCATGTGATCAACCTTTCGGATGAGTTCGGCTGCGTGCTGCGGCCCAAGATGATCTCACGCTTCCTGAAGGCCCGCGCTCCCGACGAGAGGGCCACCGTCATCACGTACGCGTTCTTCCACGCCTTTAAGTTCCCGGACGCGCTGAGCGTACACATCAAGTGCAAGGTGGAGATCTGTCGCCACGGCTGCCTCGACCACTGCCAAAACTCGGGCGTGGCGGGAGCCGGCGGTGAGGGCGGTCTCGGTCTCGGCCTCGGCCTGGGCCACGGAGTGACCAACGCCAACGAGCGCAAGGATGTTCACATGGGGGATGCGATGGGCAGCAGCAGCACCAACGATCTGCTCCGGGATCTGTCCCTGCCTCCGCCCCAGCACGGCATGGGCTTGGGAATGGGCATGGGCATGGGCCTGGGTATGGGTCCGGGTGTGGACCATGACATCTTCTATGAGGACATAATACACGACCAAAAGCAGACGATTGGCGGACAAGGAGTGGGCGGAGTGGGAATGGGAGCTGGAGCGGATTATGGAGGCGCTCACGAGAAGAGTGCGAATCTGCAGCCGCGACCCGTGCACGAGGATCAGGAGGAAGCCGACCTGTCCGACCTGTTCGGCGACGACGATCTCGCTGATCTGGCCGACATGGACGGGGGTGATGGTGAGCGGTATCTGGGCCTTAAGAAGAGCGGCAAGTTCCCCCACGGACCACGGCAGTTGGAGGCACAGAAGCGCATGGGCGTGCCCATGGCCGGGCCCCGTTCTCTGGAGCCCAGAAACGATGACGAGGATGTGCCACGTCCCGTCTACCGGCCCCAGGCGGAGCCCCTGAAACAATCGCGAGAGGACCATATCGACTTGGATGTGGAGGAGCCCGATGAGAAGGCCGCAGCCCCTGGCGCTGATGCCGCCTCATCCTCATCCACATCCACAACCACATCCTCCACCACAGAGGCGCCGGAGAATCCCCGCCGTCGTCGTCGCCGCTCCCTGGTCATCTCAGATCGTAAAGTGCGCAGTGCCGACGTGGGAGTCAGTGGCCTCTACGATGTCATCTCCGAGGCAGACCTGGCCTTCTCGCCGGACTCGAAGCAGGAGGCAGTGACCGTGTTCCAGGGCAAGATCAGCGAGGAGGTCGTCTATGGCATCTGCATGCCCGTGCCTGGGTTCAGCATTCTGTTCATCGTGGTCATCTCGGCCACCATTGTCTCGGCCCTGGTCGCCGGCTCGCTGCTCTACCGCTACCAGCTGCAGAAGGAGGCGCTGGACAAGCAGACGCCCATGCCGGTGCCGGGCACCCTGGCCTCCTGGATGACATTGCGCCTCTTCCGCCTGCGCCACATGCAGCAACAACAGCAACAGCAGCAGGAGCAAGTGCGGCAGCAGAGCCCCGTCGTGGGGCATGAAACGGTTCAGTGATCGGTGCGGATAGTATCGTCATCGGATCGTATCGGATCGGATCGGATCGGATCGGATTGTGGCCTCCGTCTTCGTCTTTGCCTTCTATTATTATTTATTTATTTCGTATGACTTTTTATACGATCCTTTTTTTTGCTCGGAGATCAGAAATCTGAAAAGATAAAGAGACAAAGACAGAGAGAGAAACAGAGAGAGAGAGGGAGAGAGAGAGAGAGAGAGAGAGAGAGAGAAAGAGAGATTCCAAGATGAAGATGGAGATGGCACCGTAATGTTAGCTTCTCGTCCGTATCCGGGCAACAATGCAATACTCGAACCGCTCCAAATGGTTCCGTTTCACATTCGTATTGGTGCTGAACGATCGAACGATCGATCCATTCATAACGTTTTTTTGTTTTGGTGCATTTAGTCGTTAAATTGCTTAAACACACACACACACACACACACACATACACAAAGACTCAAAATCACACACATCCACATGCACATCCACATACACATATATAGAGAAAGAGACACAAACAGAATTGGTGGGTGGTATCGCAATACCCAGCGATACCGTACCCAGAAGAGGTGCTCAATGATGATAGATGTTCATGGAGTTCACATCATCTAGGTTTAAGGGAAACTTATTTATTTATTGATACATATAAATACCTAACTTATATATATTTACGGCATATGTTTGAGAAAATCGTACGATATAGAGCTAGCTTTAAGCCACATCAAACAAAATGGAAATTTTAAATTGAATTTTGAAAAATTTGTTTTGTTTTTTTGTTTTTTTTTTGTATATGTTTTGGCCTTGAAACTGAGTTTTATTTAGGGGAAATTTAGTTAAATTATATATTGCCTACGCAACCATCTAGTAAAATGCTAATTCTCATCATTTTCCATCGAAAATATTCACATTTGAATTTTGAGGGATTACACAAACAATTATTGAACACACTCTCTACCAGTCTATCTTTTCCGCTTATGGAATGCATTTCTCTATGTGCAGATACAAATTAAGTGCAACTTTTGTAATTGAAAAATTGACAATTGAATAAAATTAGCTAAGTTGAAATTAAAGAATCCGAAAACGGCTAAATTATGTACTTGTATCGTGAGTATTGACGTAGATACGTATATGACAATATAACAGTAGATTAACAAAGAGAATACCACCTGGAAAAGGGTAGTAGCCCTCTTATACTTGCAGAAAGTCGACCTTAAATGGAGTGGCCCTCGACACACTGCAAGAGAGGCCGTAACAAATGGGACCATCGTGAAATATCCGATGGGAAAACTATAGCACTGTAAACCAATTGGACATTTCTCAACGCCATTTCAAGTTTCGGTCCAACTGGGAAGCGAATAGCATCACTCATTGCTAGGTCGCAGGCAGGACTCATTGATCGGCGAAGACTGTCGAACATCTCTCTGCAGTGCCATAGTTACAGTGCCACTGTGTTACAAAACTGGAGGAGATCCTAGGACCTATTGCCTCACTTTTGTACAAAACTATTAGCACAGTAGGTATAGCATTCAAATTCTTGTAGAGTGTCACAGAGGGAGAGCAGACGAAGCAGCAGGCAGGCCCAGGCACTACAGTCGGATTTGACAAATCAGTTCCATTCGGAAATTCGTCAGAAGAATATATTTTTCCAAGTAAGAAGTCAGCAGAGTTTAGCAGATCACACAATGTCCGACCAGAATGAATTGTGAGTGGGTGGGTAAGTCTCATTCGATCCACATACTGATTGGATTCACCTTGTTTCAGACAACCTGACTATGATCCAGAATACGAGGAGCTCCTCAAGTACTTTAAGAGCAATAACCTCATTTCCGATTCGTAAGTAACTTTACCAAGCTCTCTCGGACTCTCTCAGATGCTAACTACTACCACTGCAGACCCTCCGTTACGGTCCGTCCCGGAAGGGTCAAGATCACAGCCGACGGTGTGGTGATCGTTGACCAAGGTACTAATATGCGACGTCGCAACCTCAAGGCCGTGCTCACTCTGCCCGACCTGAAGGAGCGCGCTTCTTATTCGTCTCACAAGTGGCTGTACGAACTGTCCTTGAAGCTGGCCGAGGACCCGCCCAGCCCGTAAGTAAGGGCTGGAATACGGCTGACGGTCTTGGCGACCCGCCAGAGATCAAAAGACACAAGACGGTCAAGCAGAACATGCCATCATTTCATCAAAATTAGACTGTTTCATTTGTTATATCACACACACACTTTAACAAACCCAAAATAGCAATAGTTGTATGTGTTATGTGCCGCTCAAATTTATTTCAAAAATAATACCCACGAGTCCACGGGGAAGTTTCGCCATCCACCACTGCCTTTGTTTTTTTTCCAAATAATCTAAAGTGTTTGATTATTCCTTCGGAGCTTTCCTTGCATTGCTGTTTTATTGGATTTTGGATATCCAATATCAATATTGGATATTGATTGGTATATATACTCGTATAGGTATAAACTGTGTTAGTACCGGGTATAGCTCCGACTTCTTCCGATAGTACTTCCGCCTACTGGGCCGGAGAGGACGTGGCACAAAAGAGGACTTGAAAAGTCAGGCGAAAGTGAAACGAAAACGTCATAGCCTACTCTGCTGTCTGTCAACTGTTTGAATATACCTTTGGATCGAATTGGATCTGGTTCTTACGTTTTCAACGCTGCTTTCTTTTGGCATTGAGTGTATTCTTTCCATCCCAGGTATAGCTCAATGATGCGGAGGTAGGGGAGTGTGAGGGAGATATTATTGGCATATGTCCGCCCCTTCCTTCCCCGTAGAGGCGAGAGAGAAAAAAGATGAAGAACTGAGGGATTCTAAACAATTTATTGAACACTTTTTCTCTTCTCACTCTCTTGGCGCCGCTTACAAAATTACGCAAAAAAAATCAAAGATATATATAGGGTTGCATATATATGGTTGCATATATACTCGTATATGTATGTGTATATGTATATGTGTGTTGTATGAATAATTAAATCATTATGTGTATAAATAAATAAGTGGACTACAGGGTGTACGAGTACTACAATATGTGTCTGTTGTACGAGTAAGTAGTACAACGTGTAGATTCAAATCATCGTTCGGAAATCATCGGGAATGGGCGACAGTGGGGAGCAAAATGTTCGGCTTAGACTAAGGCTTAAGGCGCTTAAAATATTTAGTGACTAATTCAAGTGTACGTGTATGTGATGTGTATGCATGTGTGTGCGTGTCTGTGTGTTTGTGTGTGAGTCTACAAAGTCTTAAGAGAGTCTTACCGGAAATACTCTAAGTAATCAAAGGTCGAATCAAATGTGAGAGAAAGCTACAACTGTGGGCTTGGACGGGGGCGTGGCATGGCATAGCACCGTCTCAAAGAAGTAGAACCTAGGCTTAAACTAAAACAAAAATAAATCGATTATCGACTGCCACCAACAGGGAAAATGCAGGGAATCGTTTGACAGCTCTCAGTGTACAGCGGTGTAAATGGAGGTGCCGATCGTGTGCAGATAGTGTGCATGTGCATGGGCAGGGATGGGTGAAGCGTGGGGGGGGGGGGGGACCCAGTAAACTTGGCTTGATTTAATGTTTATATAATTTGTATCAAAAATTAATCTAACGAAGCGTACGCTACAAATTTAAGAGCCGCAGACGCAGACGCAACTGTACCCAGGCCCGGAACTGGAACTGGAAGCACAATCGGAACTAGTACCGCAGCCAGTAGCGGAACCCATAACGGAACCAGTTTCCCAATGGCTGGCACAAGAATCGAAGCGAGTGTCCGTTCCAGCATGCGTTTCCGGAACCGTAACCGGAACTAGCAACAGTTGGGGTTAGCTCATGACAGCGCCCGCTTCTTGGAGAGAGTGCCTTGAACATCCGCCGGCGACGCCAGCTGGAGGACGGGCAGCGCGCCGGCTGCGGCGGCCGCAGCCAGTTGGGGATTCGTGAAGGCAACGGCCCGCTCCTTGGCGGTGAATGAGGAGAAGGGGCGCAGGCGGACGTACAGGATGGCAGACGTGAGACAGGAGGTGACCAGGATGCCCAGCAGCACGATCAGCGTGATGGCGAAGCCCGGCGTGGTCATGCAGATTAGTCCCTCCTCTCGCACGGGGAATACCATTGTCTGCGCAGTCGAGCCGGATCCGGAGGCGTTGGTGGCGTTGCCGCCCTGTTCGTCAATGGCAAAGGTCAGATCCCCGGAGGAAACCACCTTGATGATGCGGTTCAGACCCACCTGGGGCTCGGCCACGGCTCGGGCCCGACGCTGAACCCTGCGCTCATCGCGCCTCTTGCCAATGGCACTCGCCACGTGGTAGGCATCCACATGCAGCTGCGGGGGTGGTGGTCCATACTGGGACTCCGGGCCCACCTGTAGGTGATGGACATCCTGGAGGTTCGTCTCGGAGGAGCACTGCTCGGGGCAGTGGTAGCGGCAGATCTGAATTGTGCACTGGAAGTGCACCTCCATGGAGTCGGGGAACTTGAAGGCCTGGAAGTGGGCGTAAGACAGCACTGAGGCAGAGGCCCCGAAGTTCTTGATCTTGGTGAAGCGGGACATGAGCTTGGGCCTGGTCACACAGCCCCGTTGATCTACCAGCTGGATGGGAGCCCTCTTGCCGTCGTGGGCGACACAGTTGCGCACCAGCATGTCAAACTTGGAGTCATCGTCCTTGATGGCCAGCACCATGGTCATGGTCTGTCCTATCTTTACCAGCCCGGACACCTCGGAGGCCCAGGGGCCCTTGCCCACCTGGATCTGCATCCAGCAGCCGACGTTGTCGCCCGCAAAGTCCGCCCGCACCACGTCCAGCATGTCGACGGGGAAGGGCCGGAAAGTGACGCTCTTCTCGTACTGATCGTGCCACGTGCAGCGCAGCTTCCGGGCCTGGTCCCACACCTCCTGCACTTGCGGATCGTACTGGATTACAATGATATTCTCGAAGTAGGTGCCGGCCCCCGTCCCCGCCCCAGAAACACTCTGATCGTGTCCGTAGCCCTGGCTGTAGTTGTCCGTGTTCCCGGCGGTGCCGCACTCATGCAGCCCGATGTCAAAGCTGGCAGAGGTCCGGCCCAATCCGGACGGCAGATGCACGCAGTTCATATTGCTGTAGTGGCCCTTGGAGAACACGATCCCGTTGAAGGGCTTGTCGAACTGGACAAACACCTTCATGCCGTTCTTCTCGCACTTCACGTCCAGCGACACGATCTTGGGCATATCCTGCACGGGCGAGGCCCAGATTTCGTTGTTGCTGGAGGCACCCACACTCAGGTCGGGCACCTGCACCTGCTGCACCTGTACCTGCTGGGGCATCTGCTGTTGCTGCTGTTGCTGTTGCTGCTGCTGCTGCTGTTGGGACTGGCGCTGGGGCGGTGGGGGTGGTCCTTTGTAGAACTGGGCTCCAGGCGGCGGCGGAGGTCCAAAGGGTTGGCCAAAACTTAGGGGAATGTTCTGGTGGTTGCCTATGAAGTGGAAGGTTGAAGAAGGTCGGCTCAGATCTTCGGATGGTGCGGGTGGGGGTGCGATGACTTACTGCGCAGTGTGAGACCCAACTGGGGCGGGGACGGGGGCATGTTGTGCTGGTAGTGCACCTGCACCTTGGGCACCAGCACCGACTGTGGAGGTGGCTGCTGCTGCTGCTGCTGTTGGTGCTGCTGCTGCTGCTGAACCTGCATTTGCATCTGCTGCTGAGCCTGCTGCTGCTGCTGCTCCTGCTCCGACTCCTGGGCCATCTGGTCGAGCTCGTTCTCGTGCTCGGATAGGGCGAGGGCCAGGTCGTCGTCGGGTCCGCCAGCAATGGCCTTCACCACCTCAACGTCGTCCGCCAAGACCAGAGCAACCTGCGACCCATTTCCGGGTAAAGAGAAAGAAAGAAAGAAATCATGAATGGTCTGGTCGGCTCTCTAAATTAAGCTGCCTCCAATTGCTGCTGCAGCAACATTCAACATCCAACATCCAACTGCCGCGGAGAATGTCAAGTGGAATTGGCGCATCAGTGGCGGATGCGGCATGCAACTCAATTGCATAAGGCGGCAGCAGAAAAAAACGCCAAGAAAACGACAAGACAACAAAAAAAAGAGAAACACGAGAAAAAGCCACTGCAACAATTTCGCTTTTTTCCCGCCACTCTTTCTCTTCATCTTTCTCGCTCAGTGGCTGTGTGCCACATGCGGCATGCAATGCGAGGCGACCCAATTGTCATGGAGATCCGCCTGGCAAAGAAGGCGATGTCAAGGCTAGAACCAGACAGCCATCAGCCATCAGCCAGCGGCCAACAATCGAACCACGACCAAGATCAAGACGGAATCGCTGGATTGAGGTGAGTGATCGCAGCGGATGATACGAGTATGTATGTACATACATATGTATGTGCTCTATTATCGAGCCATTATCGATCACATATCCTCACCATTTGTAGTGGATCGATTTCTATCGTCCAACTTTCTACTCAATATTGAATTTATTCCTTTGACCCTTTCCCAACAGCATACTCCCATGTGCCTATCGTTCATCGTTAACACTAGCTTTCGATATTATCCTACACTTCTTATCTAACTTAATTGATTATCCATTGAATCCACTCTATTGCTGTATCCACCCTAACTCCATCTTCGTAACACGCAATCAATCGCTTTGTATTTCATATAACCTGTCGTATATCCTGTTTCAACTATTTATATTAATCTGTACCTTAAATTCTTAATTTGTACATGCCGAAAGGAGCTCTCTTCCTCGATTCGATCCCATCCCATGGCTTCCCTTTGCTGGTATTAGGATGTTGACTGATTCAGCCATTAAGTCAATTAGCTGGCTACGTATAGAAGGCTATAGAAGTCAGGGGGAGACAGTTGCACTGGGGCTATTGCGGACAGGTGGACGACGGTGCTGATGTCCAGTAAGGAGTACTTCAGCTGCTGCTGCTGATGGTGGCGCTGCCATCCCAAATGGTTGTCGCTGCGTCTGGCGTCTGCAACTCTGTGCCGCAGTGCCACAAACAACTTTCTCCAGGCAGCGAGAGCATCTGAGAGCATCTCATCCAGCTCCAGCCTTAGCCTCAGCCTCAGCCTGAGCCACAGCCGCAGCTCCCATCGCGAAACGCGGTGCATCGGGGATGTCGCAACGACGGAGGCATCCTGAACCAATCCTGTTTGGTAGAAAGTGATGTGGCAAGCGCGGCAGACGATTGACGAAAAAAAGGTAAATGGTAAATGGCAATTGCCAAACGAGTTACCCAAAGCCCAAAACCCAAGACAAACCGAACCGAACCGAACCAAACCGAACCGAAAGCAACAAAAATTCTATAATAAAATTTACATTTATCGTCGCGACGGGAACGGCAACGGCAACGGAAACGGGAATGGAACGTGATTTGGAGCGGCCCACAAGCAGAAGCAGAAGCAGAAGCGCCTCTTGAATACCAAACAAGACCCAAAGATTCGATTTGATTTTCGATGTTCCGGTTCCTTCTGCTTTATCCTCATACAAAACCCATTACCAATAATCCTCATAGAGTCCATCTGGGAGAGGCTCCGCCTGCTGCGTTAATTGAAATGTGTGCCAAGTGCCTCAGTGCTGGCAAGTGTCCGCCGGAGTATCAGAATATCATAGTATGGGATTATCGTGAGCGTGTTTGCATTCCCGACGTTCCGTACAGGTTCGTTTCGTTGCTGTAATCGCAAGTGGGGACAACTAATGAGGAGACGTACGGTACGAGTACGCTACATACTGGATGCTGAATGTTGGAGACGGGTATGAAGCTGAAGCTGAAGCCAAAGCTGAGGCTGAAGCTGAAGATGAAGCTGGAAATCCAAAGCCGGCTGTTGTTGCTAATCTTGACCTCGACCAATGCTAAGCTCTTGAGATGCTGTCTGGCTTTGGGGGTCTGACTGGCAGCACACCAAATCGGGAGAAAGTGAAACATTAGCAGAGAATCTGCGGGGGGGAAGGAAGGAATTTGGCAGCCACTTGAGAGCTTCATTGCGCGGGGTCAAAGGTGAACGCTATGCAGTTTGGCAGCAATTCGCAGTGCGGCCCGAACATGAAAGCGAAAAGGAAGTCCAGATGGATGTGGAGATGGGGTTGGGGTTGGGGATGGCGATGGCGATGGGCCAAAGCAAGCAAAAAGTCCATAAGGATTGGGAAATCGGCTTGCGGCCATCGCAAATTGTGTCATCGCCCCAGAATACATCCATACATCCCAGCAAACAACAACAAACAACGAAACTTTCTAACGTCACGACTGTGGTGCCAAGAGATTTTCTGATGGGTATTACCGAGGCACGGATGCATATGGAATTTTAATATGTTCCCGGGGAAACAGTCACAACAAAAGAGAAAGGAATGCTGTGGCTGTAGCTGTGGCTGTGGCTGCGGCTGCGGCTGTATCTATGGCTGTGGCTGCGTCTGTCGCCGGCGGATGTCAAACGGGGAGGGACTGGGTCGGAAAATGCTTTCAATGAATCAAAAGGATTATCAAATAAGGCGTGATTTGGTTTCTACATGCTATACGTAGCACGTACATATGTATGTAATTACGTCAGTCCAGTGTTGGTTAATCACTTAGTTCAGCTGCAATATAGCTGATTCCCCTTTCCTTTTATTTTTCTAAATTTCCTAATAACATTCCGTCCATGGTTTATTAATGCCGGAGGAAATCCTCGCCGTCTTCCAAGTTCCTTTTGGCTAAAATTACCTTATTTCCTAAGTGGCTAATAAATCACTAATACGAACTCAGTTTTTTGATTCCCGTGATAAAACTCACTTTCAAGTAGCACCATTCCCCTAAAGCATGCACCAGGAACTACTGCCAAATGTAACACACACACACACACACACACATCCATACGTGGCACACAATCACACTTTCTGGAGGGGGACCGAGTACACGCGTGCAATTGAGGCGAAAAACGAGGCCATGGCAATTACCCATCCCATCCCATCCCATTCCATTTCATTCCCAGCACTTGGCGGCTGGCTGCTCTTTCACTTGCACACACACGGACACAGACGCAGGCACAGACACTGGCACAGGAACTGGCACAGGCACTAACATGCACACGCATTTAGGCAGTCAGACAGACTGGGAGAGGGAGAAGAGATGCTTAAGCCGGCTGCTTACTGATGAAGTACTGGCTAAACGAAGAAGCAGTTGCCTTGTAGCTCCCCTCTGATTACCCAACTATTTTAAGATTTTACTGGTTTGGTAGAACTTTATCTTGCCTCGTGAACTGAAGGCAGTACTAGTAGCGGTGCTTGTACTAAATATAGGCACTTCAGCTACTAGCTTACTATTCTTGAACATTCAAGCACTTCCACAGCCTTGTCAGTGGTCAGTGGTCAGTGGTCAGTGCTGTAAAGTGTCCCTGTTACGATACATAAGATCCTAACATTATACTTTGGGCATCCTTAGCCCAAAGGAGTCATCCTTTTTGCCTTTTCAAATCCACGAAGAACACATAAATAAATAAGAAACTACGAGACCACCCCCTCCCCCCGCAAATGCTGCTGTGCAGGAAGCTGCAGAGTGGCTGCCGTCTCGTTTGGACAGTACTTAATGTGAATTATCTATTTATAAGCTGTTGGTTTTGCTGCTGCTGCTTGCTGCTGTTGTGTCTGCAGCTTAGGCTTAAATTGATTTTAATTATTTGCATCGTTTCAACTCACCTGCAGTGAAAGGAAAATGATAAGCGGCAGCCAAATCTTCTTAGCACCGATTTCTTTGCCACCTTGCCGCGGATGTTGTCTGCAGCGCTGTTGTTGGTGCCGCAGCTGCAGCTGCTGCTCTTTTGGATTAGTGTGTTGCATGCTGCTGCTGTTGGTGCTGTTGTTCGATGTGTAATTAATTTGTTGAACATTATTTGATATTTTCATAGGATTACAGAAGGTGTGTATGTGTGGGAGAAGTAGAAGAAGAAACAGTTGAAAAGGCAGTCGGTGGGGAAGAGAAATGGAGGGTAAAGCAGAACCGAAGAAAGTGCTTCAATTGTTGTTTGGTTTTCGCTTTTTTCTCTCCCATTAACATCATTATTACCATCCATGAAAGTGCTTGCTGTTAATTGCAATTTATTAGCGATTTTCCAGTTAGCTGAATGATGATTGATTGTCTCTGTCTGCTCTCCACTCCCTTCCAACTCTCCTCAGCTCCCCACCCACGGGAGACAAGTGAAAACAAAAACTCAAAAAGAGAGAAAGAGAGAAAGAGAGAGAGAGAGAGAGGGAAAAAGATGCGACGACAGTTGAAGAAAGAATCTGCCTAATGACCGCCACTGGCACAGCCACTGCCACCGCCAGCCCAAAACTGGTGGAGAGAGGTGAAGTGATGTGTGTGGCTTCGACTTGGTGTTGGGGTTGGGGTTGGGGTTGGGGTTGCGGCAAGGTGAGAAGTGTTAATAGGTTTCCCCATAAGTGAAGTGGGTCATCCGTGGCCCAGACAAATATACGTATGCGTATGAATGCATAGTTGGCCAATTAAAAGTCCGCAGACGATTCGAAATCTGTTAAGAATGGCTGAGGAGACGGAGAGAGTGATGTGAGATGCGGAGGAGGATGATTGGCAGTGACCTTGAACATGTCCTCGTCCTCTACCCGAATTAAATGTTTAATGTTCTCGTTGAAATCTGTTCGACTGCTAGTGGAGGAACCCTTCAATTTTGAAGTTGGTCGATAAAGTGAGGATACTCATAGATACATAGTTCAAGAAGAGTGGGAATGAACTTTCTGTTTGAGACAGAAACTAAACTTATAAAGAGGTCTCCATCCACAGGGGTGGTACAGGGAAGGTACAGGGAAGGTACAGGGAAGGTACAGGGGAGGTTCCTTTAAACTGTGATATCTTTTATCACTTCAGTATAAATTTCAGAGTGTGTGTTTTGCTCCTTCTGCTTCGCCTTTTGCTTGATTCCACTTCCGGGTGCGCTGCTCGCAAGGACCTTCTGCACTCACCTTCCACGCCGTTGGCCCGATTTCGCTGTTCCAATTCGAACTCGAGTTCCACTTCCAAATTCCAAATTCCCGATGCAATGCCAACGAACAGGATGCGTCTACTTCTGCGTTCTGAGGCAACTTTCAAAAACTGTTGCACTTACTGCTGGTAGCAGTAGCCGTTACTGTTCCTATTGCTGCTTCTTTGACTGCCTCTGATGCTGATGCTGATGCCGATGTTGATGTCGATGTCGATGGTGTTGCTGATGATGGGTTGACAGGGGCACGAGTCACGTGGCGGGCGGGGCACGAGGCGCAGTGACTGCGGTTAATTGCAAGATGCACGCGGTCAATTAACTCTCAGCAGCCGTCTAAGTGGAGCACTTAATCTCTGTGGTGGACACACTCGCGTAGTTCCACCGATTCAACAGACAAAAAAATAGTAATAAAAAAAAATGAAAAGTACTGGCAACAAAATGCTCAAAAAAAGGACACAGAATCGCGTGTGGTCACTTGTTGATCGTTTGATAACCGCTTTTGATAAACGGTTATTGCCCGTGTGTTGCTTTCTTTGCTTGTCGATCGGTTTTTGTGTGTTGGTTGCATTCGCATTCGCATTCGCTTTTGTTTTGTTTGTTTGGGTGCTCGGTTATCGGTTTTTGGCTTTTGGTTTTTGGTTTTTGCTTGTTCTGGGACTCGGATGTGGATTCGGTCTCGATTACGGTAGGATCGCACACTTGGAGGGGGCCTGAGCTTCGTCTGAAAACGCGTCTGGTCCGCGCCGTGGGTTAGCGCCGAATGCTGCATACACCTGCTTTCTCGTAGCGGAACACTTCGCATGCGCAGCAGCAGCGGCTCGGCTCTGCCGCTGCGGCGGTGGCAGCGAAATTTCTTCTTTACATTGAGACCGATCCGATACGATACGATGCGATCCGATCCCCAGCCGAAGCTCTCGGCAAGGCAGTCTCTCAGTGTGGCAGTCGGCCAAGTCCAAGTCCAACTCCAGCTCCAGCTCCAGCTCCAGCTCCAAGTACGACTTGTTCGAGTACAGCTTGCTGGTTGCTGCCACGGCCGCTGCCTCTGTGACTGCCTCTTCTTGTGGCATGCGTCGTTCGTTGGTTGGCTGGTCGGTCGGTCTGTCGGTCCGACGGTCTGTTGGTCGGTTTCCCCAGTTGTCTGTTTGCCCACGGGTGCGGGTACGGGTACGGGTACGGGTACGGGTACGGGTACAGGTATACTGGACTGCTTCGGCTTCGGCTTCAACTTCAACTTTCAGTTGCAATGGGTTACAGAAGCAGACGATCGCTAGCAGCCAGACGACGACAATTGCATGGGGACAAGTCCTCTAACTGTTTGCACTTTCTATTCCCCTGCCCCTGCCCCTGCCCCTGCCTCGTTCCCCTGCCTCTCCTCATGTCTCCACGTGCCACATGCCTCATGCCCCCGTCCCCTGCAGCCACTGCCCAGTGTCCACGGCCCATGCTCCAATTGTTGCTGATTTGTGGCAAGCAATCAAGCTGTGGTAAGACATGGGCGTGGGCGCCCTTTGATAGCCACACGCTCTTCGTGGCGGGGGGGTGGGGCTCAAAGGAAACTGTGGGAGGGGGAGGGGGAGGGGTTGTCTAGTACAGGTGGTACAGAGAGCAAGGGAAAGGGGCCAGGGAGAGAGGATGGCGTCGCTGTAATGTTTCATCAACTGTTCCACTTTTCCATAAAATATTTTTGCAAAGTACCGCATTTGGCATGGCCTACAACAACAACAGCAACAACAGCAACAACTGCAGCAGAAACAGCGCCAAGAGCGGCGGCTGCAACAACAACGACGGACGGTCGGCTGCTGCGCTTGCTCTCGTTGAAATAATAGGATGAGCAACATCGGCAGTTGCAACTGCAACAGCCCCAACAACAGCGACAACGCTAGCGACAGCAATTGATAACCTGCTAACCCGCCACGCACAGTAGGTCGCATTTGATGCGAAATGGGATCGACAGTGGGGTGGATACCCCAGAAAACTGTTTCCCAGGACAACGCCCAGGACCAGTACCCAGGACAATGCTTCAAATGGACTGAGATGCGATACAGACAATGTACTGATGATGATGGGCCTCTCTATACCCGGTACTCATAGAATAAAGTGATGTGTTCTATATGTACATATATATGTATTTCCTAGATCAGCAGATCACTATCGTAATCGATATAGCCCTCATATAGCTATATCTCACAGACTATGTTAGCTAGTCTTCCACCCCATCAACTCCCAAAAACTTCTGCCGATTCGAAACAAAACCATTAACTCTCGCAGTACGCGCTCTCTTTCTCTCTCTCCCAGTGTTTCTTGGCAGTAAAAAGTTGTATTTCATGTCCGGCATTTAGTCGATGAGAGAGCAGTAAACGAATATGCTCTCTGTTCAACATCAACAATAGCATCCGTCGTTTCCTTACCACCTATGTCGATAAAGTATTGAAACCATTTGCAATAGATATCAACTTCTCCGAAAAGGAAGGCATGATTTATAATACGGGTGATACGGTACGGGTGTAAATATCGAAGTTTCGTTGGAGAGGTATTCAATTATTTTGGCTCTTCAATATATCAGTAATCTTTTGAAATTTGAAAATGTCTCTATCCAAATCACTTGCCCCGGTCCGTTTCATTTTTGGGTATAGCGACTGCTCCAGTTTTCTCTCCTTTTTGGCCCACTGTGCGGTGGAAGCGTACGAGCGGCAGGTAGAGTCAGGCTGGCGGCTGGCGGCTGGCGGCAGGCGGCAGGCATTTCATCGCCATTTCAATTCCACTTTGCAGTTTTGAGTTTTTAGGGGCGCCGTGTGTCGATTCCTGTTTGCTAAATATGACCAAAAAGACTCGTTTCGAAATTGGAGTAATTTCGTCGCGGCGACTCGCTTTGGATCGCTTTGGATCGCCTGGGTTCGATCTGATCCGATGCTGATGCTATTCGATGCAATTCGATTTGGCTGGCGTGCTCCGGTTCGGCCAGAAAGTGGACGCTGGGGCTGGCGGCCTGGCGGCCTGGCGTCTATCCTCCTCCATCCCCGTCTATCGGGGCACACATTAAGTAACACGCGCCAGCCAGTCTACCCCAAGCCTGCGACCGTCTGCTCCGACTTGGTCAATTATTGGCTAGCTTTGCATGAGATCCGATTGGTTAGCATTGGGTATGTTTTGGGTCTGTTTTGGGTGCCATTGGAAAAGGCCAGTGCCAGTGCCAGTGCCAGTGCCAGTGCCAGTGCCAGTGCCAGTGGGGAAGGGCAGCCTCTTGTGTGTCGCACGACGCACGCATCTTAAACGAACCCGAGAGATGTCTTATTAAAAGTATCTTGTTACTTTCACCGCCGACTTGAATTGCGCTTCAATTTCTCATACGTACACACACTCAGAGGCAGAGACAGTGATAGGGAGAGAGGAGAGAGGAGACGAAGGAGAGTGCTGCGGAAAGTACTGACCAAATGTGGTGCTGGTGCTGGTGCTGGTGCTGGCTGTGTGGTGCAGTGCTAGCCAGCCAGCCAGCCAGCCAGCCAGCCAGCCAGCCAAAGGTCTCGAAAAAAAGCGTCGCCAAGTTGGGTGAAAACATCAGCGAATTCCTGCAACTGCTATTGGGGATGGGGATGTGGATAGTGATGGTGATGGCGATGGGGCTGGGTCATTCGATGGATAGCTATAGCTTCTTCTGGTGCGGGGTTACACACCATTCCAGAGTCCCCAGCTCCCGGCCAGGTTCCCAAACCCAAACCCAAACCCAAAGCAAATCCTCTTTGCCACGCCAGTTTCTAGCCAACTATTTGGGTCGCTCTCACAATTTATTGGTTTAGTTTTCATTGCATTGACACTTCATCATCGCCGCTTGCATGCGTTTGTCATCTG